GTGGCACCGGCGGGCGGTTAGAAAATTTTACTACTAACAGAGATACAAAAGTGGGCAGTAGGTATAAAAAGGTTGACTACCCCTGGTCTAAACATCTGGCTGACCATGCAACCACCCTTAACAATTGTTACAATTAATTATAATTTTGTATTGTATATACATTACAATACAATTATAACTATCCATGTTGCCACCCAGAAAGCTACAAGGACATTTCAAGCTTGACTCAAAGGAAACTTTATAAATCTAGTTTTATTTTCTGAGCTTTTTGTATGGCTTCGGGCAGGCAATTCACCTTGATTATTGAAAGAAGTTAAGAGTTCGGTTTGCGGAAACCTCTAGAACTTCTTATTGCATGGTAATTCATAGACTGTAAATTTGCAAGAGCGGTTTATCAATAGTATGACATCTAAAGAAATGGAAAGTAGGATGGAGAAGATCGTATTTATGATAATAACCATAATAAAAATAGGATTTTGATCAATTTCAACATGTATATCAAAATGGGTTAGCCTCTTGACTGGGACAATGTATTATTATTATGTAATTTACTTGAAAGCCCACTGGTAACAATAGAAGGATGTTCCTGACAGACACAGGTAACTGTGTTAGAATGAAAACTGTAGAAAGCTTCAGGAGCATCTTTGTAACTAATAAATGTTTTGTATTCTAAGGGTTGGGATTTATACATCCTGGGGCAGGGGAAAAGGTGACGGCCAAATAATGGAATTAAGGGGATGCCTTAATCCCGTTGGACTCTGCAGAATGGCCCCTGAGAAAGCGGCTAAGAAAGGGTTCAACAGGAATGCCAGATTTCTGCTGAATAGGTTAAAAGAGTGAAGAAGCCTCTTCGGCAGCCATCAATGCGCAGAAAGCCTGCAGAACATTTAGGGCCCTAAATGAAGACAGAAAAAAAAAACACAAAGGCATCTGATTGCAACTTGAGGAGAGCTTTCGACTGCATGTTCTAATCTGTATATTTTTACTTTTAATGTCAAAGTACTTTGACATCGCTCTGGACACTGGAGTGGAATTACTTTACCTTAGTTCTGTATAAATATAACAATAAGCTTTTTGAAATTGTTTTTTTTTTCATATATACAACCCAGTGCCTTATATAAAGCACCATCCTTAAAACAAAAGCTTAAAGCTGTATATGAGAATGACAACCTGGTTTTCTATCCAAATTTAAGATATATTTTTAAAAAATTCTTAGGTACAGTATATTATTTGGATTTTACCTTAACTTGGAAGAATTTTATGTTTTAAAAAGATACAAAAAAGAGAGAAAAATATCTGAGGAACAGATTTTATTTCCACAGTGCATCAATTTTGATATAAACCCAGGGATTCCAATATATTTTAATAGGATTTACATTCAGCAAATGGGTTCTTTATTCTGGTGCTTGCCAAGGAAACTGCAGGGTCCAGGCAATCACCATACATCAACACTGACTCAAGACCATCAATACCCCTTTCCCCTTGACACACACAGAAAAAAAGAAAAAGGAAAAGGAAAATGAAACAAAGAAAAGAATACAAAAATGGAAGGAAGGAAGAAAAATGATAGAAAGGAAAGAAAGAGAACGAAAAAGAAAGGAAAGAAACAAAAGGAAAAAAGAAAAGAACAAAAAAAGGAAAGGAAAAATAAATAAAAAGAAAGAACAAAGGAAGAAAAGGAAGGAAGAGCAAGAAGGAAAGAAAGAAAAAAAGGAAAAGAAAGGAAGAAAGAAAAAATAAAAAAGGAAGGTAGAAAGAAAGAAAGGAAAAGAAAGAAAGGGAGGAAGAAAGAAAGAGTAACTTTTAAGCAAAAAAAAACAACACACCTTGTAAAAGCTCATTTGTCTTACCTCTGCAAGCGGATACCAGCGTGCAATGGGTTTTCGAGGGTAGGAGAGCATTTCATTCCAATGATCTCGCCCAAGACTTTCTGCTTCGTTGCCTACTTGACAGACTCCAATTACTTCATTGTGACCTACACTGTGAAAATGTTCAATAATATTTATTTCTTAAAATTATGCATTCAGGAACTATGCAGTCCAAATGATCTAACAGCTGAAGCAGATGGGTTCTTAAATATACCTTCACAGTTCCTGGTAATGAAATCATAGTAGGGAAACAGCATAAATATAAACTTTTTTTCTCCTGCAGAAGCCCCAATGAAAATCACTTTTCCAAAGTTAGCATTTGTTTTGCAAAGTAAGCCTGTCAAAGATACCAGTAGAGGAATTTCCCCAATAGGAGAAATGTCTTTTCTTTGCCTGTTTCTATTAACGTTCACTTTGAAATTAATGTTCAATTTTTAAAAAACCCACCTTTACACCTAAAGCTGCCTGTGCAGCTTGCAGCTCAGAAATTTAGTTCTTACAAATAAACCATGTGTTTCTACGGAGGTGGTATTCAGCAGGTTCTGACCAGTTCTGGGGAACCGGTAGCAGAAATTTTGAGTAGTTCGGAGAACCCGTAAATACCACCTTTGACTGGCCCCGCCCCCATCAATTCTCTGCCTCCTGAGTTCCAGTTGATCCGGAGGAAATGGGGATTTTGCAGTATCCTTCCCCTGGAGTGGGGTGGGAATGGAGATTTTACATGCCCGCCAAGCCACGCCCACAGAACCAATAGTAAAAATTTTTGAATCCCACCATTGTGTTTCTAGTCTTCTACTGGCCAGTTGGTATCATCTAACTGATTGGAAAAACTAATCAGAGTAAGATCTAATTAATATTTGGAAAAACAATGTTTGCACCAGACTGAGAAGTTAAGAAAAAGCAAAGAAGGAAGCTCTTATTTCCACCCAAAACAATTTTAGCAGGGATTTGTAATACTGCCTTTGTTGCTAAATATTTGTTCAGGTTTACACATCCTAATTTAGAGGTTCCATTCATCGTTTTTCATAGCTGTCCAGATATCTCACCGGTCATAATCCATAACAGCTATAGACAAGTGAATCTGATCAATGCTTTCTGGAGGGACATCAAAGGCAGTATTAC